GACAAGATCCACGTGCCTCAACAGGCTGTGAGTGTGTGAGCGAGTGACCATAAGCCAAACCTGGGAGCAGCCAGCGTCTGTAACACTACCCTTTTAAAAAGATTTTCTGTTATGTCAAAAAATGACATCATATCACCATACATATTACATATTAAAAGGAGGTCCTCTTTTTCAGTTGAAATTACTGAAAGGTTTGAATATTCTACAGTGCTTTAAGAAAAATGTCAAACCTTTTCTGTTCGAAAAAAGTATGGAATTCATTACATCAGAATATAGGAATAGCCACCAGCCATTAATCTTTTAATCTTTAAAAGAAGATTAAAAACACTCAATACGCCTACACCTCCAATTATCTCCAGTATCAGAGGCGGGCTGTGGGTTCCTCTAAATATCAGATATTGTGAAACAGAAGCAAGGTGCTCAAGTCCTCCTTATGAACTTCCTATAATCATCTAACTGGACATGGAGGAACCAAAAGCTGCTGGGTCTGAGTCTGCTGAGTTAGTCTTATGCTTTTAAGATACAGCTTGGATGCCAGGAAATATTTCCTAACTCTTCCTAAGGACTAGCTAACTCACTCTGACAAGCCATTCAGTTTCCTCCTCTAACCAGTGAACAAGACAGACATCTCTACATTCACTGCTGTGGCCAAAATGCTGCCCCCAATGATTTTAGCACAATATTATGGTTTTAATCATGGCAATAATTAAAATATGATAATCCAAATATGAAGCCTTTTTTTACATGCTTTTCTGAAAGATTTTAAGGAAACCAAACTATAGATCAAGTAAGAACCAAACCAAACCAAACCAAACCAAACCAATAAATTCATTATTAGCTTACCTGATGTTTTCTGTTTTAGTCAATGCAGCCAGAGAGATCACTACCTGGATAGGATGTGTCTAATCCACTATTCCCAGCCTCATATTCTATTATGTTGTCCACAACTCCAGAATTCCCAACCATCTCCCAAGTGGAAGTCATAGGAGCTGTAGCTCTACATATCTGGGGGGTACCTGCTGGGAACAGCTGTTTAATCCCTTTCTCCTTTGTCCAAAAGTTCTCCCCCACTACCACCCTTATTGTAATTTCCCCTATGGAAAGAAAATACAGCTTGCTGATGGGAGGGGAGAAGAGAAAAAGAGGAACAAAGCCCTTGCATAGAGCACACTGTCTGTCTGCTCTAGTTGCAGACTTTTAAAAGCAAACAACATGAAGAATCCAATCATTTTATCTTAATATCAAGCTATTTGGCCCAAAAGCAAAGAGTGGATAACAGATTCCATTACTCACTTTGTCGGAGCAGCCATCCACTTTTCACCAATGCCATCACCAATCTCTAGAGGGAAAAGGAGACGATGCACCTCTGCAGATACAGCAAAACATAGCAGTAATGACATTAAAAAGATGCATCTATGCAACAGTTCTCAAAGGTGCTTGGGAATTCTAGAAGTTGTTACCATATCAGAAGGATGCCAAATTCATAAATGCTGATGTAAAATAAATTTCTTTCTCTCAATGGTGATGAGTTGTTGTTGGTTTTTTTAAGAATAAATAAATAATTTTAAATGATTGTGGCTATATATGCACTGCATTGTCCATAATTTCTAAGAATCCCTATGATGCCTGAAACATTTTCAGGACTTTTTATTACTAGGCCACTTCTTGTAAGAAACCAAAATATCACACAACATGAAGGGCTTTTCTGCTTTTGAAGATTATAACATTTTGGACTCAGAAGAATCATAAGCAAGATTTAACAACAGTGCTGAATGCATGTAGAACTGCCTTTCCTTCCACTTATTTCCTGTTAATTATTCAAATGAGCAAAAGAGCTAGAGACCCCACACTATAACTGCCTTGCCAAGCACCACCTGGACATGGCAGACCAAACTAGCCAAGATGTCACATAATGTTATAATTCCAAAGCACAGAATTTTTAAAGAATGTTAGTTAAAACTGTGATAGGAAAATGACGAATCAATTATCTAGATATGCAAGTTGATTTAATCCATGTTTACTCCAGTGGTTTAACCCATGTTTACTCCAGAGAATCTCCACTGAAATCAATTTAGAAACTAGTAAATTTGCCTAATTTTGCAGCCTCAGCTGAGAAAACAAGCTATTCTCAACAGGACTGAACAAGCCGTAGACTACTCCAAGACCCACTGCTGCTATCATGATTGTGTGCGTATATATGCGTGCGCGCCTTTGAGTCACTTTCTGACTCCTGACAACTGCCTGGACTAGTCCCTACAGTTTCCTTGTCAAGGTTTTTCGGAAGTGGTTTCCACTGTCTCCTCCCTAAGGCTGAGAGAGAGTTACTGGCCCAAGGTCACCCAGATGGCTTCGTGCCTAAGGTGGGACTAGAACTCAGTCTTCTGGTTTAACCACTACAACAAACTGGCTATATATCACAACCACTACTGGGACAGTAAATAAAACAGTTATATTAGGCCTAATGCTCTGGTTAATACTGAGGCGGGAGCTGGTAGATTTTACTACTCCCCTTTCCACCTATTCTAAATTTTCCATTCAGCCCAGAGATAAATTTGTTAAAAACAATGCAGTCCTGGCCCCAAAAGTTTGCCCACCCCTGCTTTATGGACTAATTCAACTGATAAGCAGCAAAAAGCCCAAGAAATATGTAAGTGAAAGGTAGACCACACCTGTATTTCCAAATACAGCATTACACCTGCAGTCTGAAGAATTCTCATCTCTAAGTACAAAAGAAACTTCCAAAGCAATTCTTCTCAAACTGATAGAACAGGATTTGTTTTCCCCCAGACTCACATAAGCTGCTTTGGAAGCTGTTCCCAATTGCCTCCACATCTCTACTATGTTGAGAAAAAGAAGCAGCACAAACCTAGAAAAAGATGCTCCTGTGTGTTCTGAAATAACCCTTTCAAAGGAAGTTGCACATCTCTAGTATATTCTGTGTGCTCTATTTCTGAGCCATGTTCCATATTATCGGTACAAGCTCTTCAAAACAAGATTTCATTTAGAACCATAATATTCCTGGAACTTCTTTCAGCTCGAGATACCAGTGTATTGATCCCTCTGTTTAAATATCCGCTCATAATAAAATTTGACAGACATTACTGATTTGAACTCTTAATGGAGAGACTTAAACATTATGTCTAAGTAAACTGAACAGATCATTCATCCTAACAATGGACATTTCTAAATTATTGTATGGACCCAATAAGGTTGAGACAATACATTGCATTTTCATCCACTTCAGATGGATACTGCACTGTTCAAAATAAATCACTTTACTAGAAAAAACTGCTAACTTTGTAATCCCACCAGCCCCTTGAATGCTAAACCATTTATTTCACCATTACTTTAGTTCAGACTTGCTTTTTCCAAATGTTTCAGGATCACAGATGTAATCATCCCCAACCATTATTATCAATTAAAATTTATTTACTGTTCAAGACCAAACACAATAAAAGACCAGCATACAATACAATACTATAAAACTATTATGCTATGTTGATTAGTGATTAGGGAAACATAATCCATGTATCTGGAAAGTAAGGCTGCATTTATTCACGCAGATATCAGTAATAATCTCCCAAACTTTTTTACATCAGATTTATAAAAGATAATCTTACATCCCATTGTGCTGTACTTTTCCTTAAGGGCAAAGCGTGAAGAAAGTGACTGCATCCTTTAAAAAACAAGCAACTTAGTGAAGGGTTCCCAACTCTCTTTTCTTTTGTTTTACAGTGGGATTTTTGTACCTTGGACCTGACAGTAACTTCAAGCAAAAACTGAACAGATAAGCACTTTTTCTATCACAGCCTCTCTAAAAGAGAAATGTTTTTAGTGCCTTAATTTCTGTTTATATTATGCAGCTCTTAAGAGTTGGACCAACCCATCGTTACAGTCTTGAACTACATTCTGCTGCAATTCAAAAATTACTTCATATTACAGCTTGAAATGCCAAACTCGTGGGAGACTGTTTTAAAAGCCTGCAATCTCTCCCTCCCCTCTCCTAAAAGGCTACGCTGAAGTGCCACTAAACCATCTTCTCTTCTCTGATTTAAATCCCCACAACCTTCTCTGACATTAAGATGGGGAAAAAATACAAATAAGCGATTCAGACTCCGTGAGCTCGGTACAGCTAGCAGGATTACAAAACGCGGTGGCGTGACCTCGTTGGATTTGCCTCTGCCTCGTCTAGACAAGTTGTAGCCGGTGGCACAGCCAGCCACCCTCCACCCCACCGTGGCAGTACGGCTTTCTTTCTCCCCCCGCCCTTCCGCTACTAAGGATCTAACACAAAGCACACCACCGCCCGTTGCCCGGTTGTCTGGAAAAGCACGACCTCCAACGCAGCTAAACTCCGAGCCCTAAAAAGTTACCCCAGGAGCCATCCTTGTTCTCCCCTTGCCAAAAACCATAGAAGCGATTATCCACTTTAACAAGAAGGAGAAGCAAAAGCGACTTTCCTGACCTGTTACGCTTTGGAAAGAACGCACGATTCCTGAAATTCCGGCTTTCGTTCTTCCTTGTTGCCGAGAAATGAAAAAGCCCCCACAGCACCGCCTCCGAGCGCCCAGGCCGCTGTCGTCAGCTGGGTCCTGTGATCGTTCGCGTCACGTAATACATCTGCACATGCTCCTAACGTTAGCTGGGAAGTGTAGTTTCCCAAGGCAAGAGAAGGAAGTCGTTAATTTATTATTTAAATAAAGCCTTGGGCGATATTATTTTTCCAGCTGCAGTAACAAAGACCAGGTCCGTATGGGAAAAGGTGAACAGTCTCGACGCTCCGCTCCCTGAAATCATCCGGGTTTTATACACGCTTTCTAACATCCCTTTCTTGGCACGGTGGCTTCGTCGTACGTTGGCTGTTGCCACCTACCTACCTGGGGGATTCCCTTCCCCTTAACCCTGGCATGTGGGGCAGATAAGAATCTCACAGCCTGCACTGTACTGGCCAAACATAGAAATGCGTTAGAGAGGTGCAATAGCTGAGTTGTCAACACCACTCCCTTTCCCAGCCATCAGGTGAGATATCTGTGGAACCCCCTAGTACAATTTTTCTCAAACTTGGCATCATTAAGATGTGTGGACTTCAACTCCCAGAATTCCCCAGCCAGCATGGCTGGCTGGGGAATTCTGGAACTTGAAGTCCACACACCTTAAAGTTGCCAAGTTTGCAAAACATTGCTCTAGCAGCTCACTGCTCTAGCAGCCTTTTCCTTTTCATTGTCTCTTTTGAATGGTGTGTAAATGTTGTTTATCTCTATGTGCCTGCTGATGGCTGACTTGTACCAATAAACAGAACAAAAAGAGCACAACACCTCCTCACCAGCAATCAACACCCAGATAAGCAGGGATTAACACCAGGATTAACACCAAACAATCAAGCAGGAAACAATACCCTAATCAAAGAACTACCAAGAAAAAACAACACCCCCATCAACACTGATAGGGCAAGTATATAAACAGAAAGCAAGCCACACTCCCTTCTAGCACTGAAGGTGTTACCTAGTCGGGTAACAAAAGGTCTGTAAGAAAACAACCAAGCTCAGAGAACCCCATGGAGTCTACAGTTCAACCCTGAGCTACATCCATTCTCTTCTATTAGACTCCTATTTGCCAATGTTAGCCCCAGAAAATGTACTTCTGAAGACCTGAAGTAATATACAATCCAGCTTATGATGCAGTCATCCCTGTCTTGAATCAATAAGTGTCCCTTGGAGAGTTTTTAAGCTACACAATTGCTGCTTTTTAAGAAGGCTAGTAATACCCACCATATCATTTCTAACGGACACATGCATGTTTCCTAGCCAGTAAGAATGCACACATATGAATGTTGGCAATTGAACACACACATAACTGCACTCATCCATACATATAACTGCTGTGACTATATATATGTCCATGTGCCACATAGCCATCAACAAGTCCTACAGGCAGAGCAAACTGGAAGCATATATACTTGATTCTCCTGTAGGAAACTAACAATCACATGAGCCAATGCCTTGATAGCAATGTTTTTATTTGCCAGAACTTGATGCTCTGATGTACATGGAAGCAGGGCTATTTGTCCCTGGAAAACCCAGGGACCGATGGATGTCTTTCCATACAACCAAGTATCTTTGGGCACAACATACATCTACTGCACTGGTGGCTTATAAAGCTGTTATTTAGTCATCTGGGCCCATGCAAGGCAGCATGCAACTGCATGTTCAACCAGTGCAGGAACATGGTGGAGAGTGTCTCCGGAAGATTCGAGGCACAGTAACGCTGACTCAGTACACGGTTGCCTGTGGCTGATGAAAATGTGCATGCCATCACCTCCTGTGTACTACTATACAACATCTGTGAAAACAAGGGCACGTTGGGCTATCCACTGATGTAGTACACAGGTCACAAACAGTGGGTCATCAAGGGGAAGAGTACTGCCCCTGGAGTCAGCACCACATTGCTAAGGGCAGAACTGCTTGTGCAGCTCTCTTTAACAGACTCCATACCCTCACACACATATGATGACTGACCCTCATTCTCTCTTCTGGGTGCAAACACTCATCATATTGGTTGACAAGGATAAACCTGAAGGGCAGTGGTCAGGCTATATTTTATTATGTCAAGCATCATCGGTATTTCCTGTAAAGGGAACAGCAGAGGTGAGCAGTTGTGGCACTTGAAGGCATGGCCCATGAGGAGCCCTGTGCTCTGACCCAGGCCACCAAAGTGTAGCTTCCCAGCATTAGATACTTTGGAGCCCTCCATCTTTGCACATCCCTACCATCCAGACCCAGTGGAGGTGACAGAGAAAAATGCTACAGGTTGAGACACATCCGGGCCATATGCCTGTGGATGGCTACATGACACAGAATAACAGAAGCATTATCTCCTTGCCTACAAACCACCCTTGGGGAATTTGTGGGATTTGTTTTTTAGCCTTGGGAGGGGAAGATGCACTGTGGCAGGCAACCCTAGGGGGTTTCATGACCTCTGGCACCACAGCCCAAAAGGGCTGCAGAGCAGTGCAAGTGTGAGTGTTTGTGGCCCAGTAGTCCTTTGAGTATGGCCAATAGCAACCCACAACCTCCTCATGGTTTGAAACTGTGGGAACCTGTCATTTTTTCTCTCCCCTCACATATATGGTTTCCATGTCACAAGCCAGGCAAAAATTGCAGAGCCTTCCTTTGAGGCACCTGAACTTTTTTTTTTAATTGCTTCAATATATATAATTTTTGTAAGATCACTGTAGAAAAGTAAAACAAGGAACTAACACTCCCCATTTGCATCTTCCTTGTGTTTCGAGGCCACAATTTTACAGGGATAGTTTTCATTCAGCCAGAAATACAGCATTGGCTGATAAACTACAGCTTTATGGGTTTGCATCCACTTCTCTATGATATAAACCCATTACTGAGCTTTGATAGTGCATTAACACCCCCCATCTAGATTAAATGCCTATTCGTGTTTGGTAAGCTAAAGGGCTTCAGAAGCACCATCCTTGCACATAATGTTAAAATATCTTTAATGTGCACATTTTATTTTCAGTTAGCTCATATTAATAGGCAAAGAGCTTTCAGGCTGGCACATCTCAGTATCTTATTTTCAGTTTTATTGGAAAATACTGTAATATCTCTCTCTGGATAAAATAGTCAGCAGGACACACACTTTTGTGCAGTCCTTACTGAGATTCTTGCTTCATGTATATTTTGTTTTAAAGTGCCTTATAGGATAGAGAAATTTAATGTAGTTTTTTTCTACCTTTTCTACATTGCAACAGAATACTGCAATTCTGTTTCTGATAAAGTAGCTATGTTTTGTGTAATTGTGACTATAGTAGGTTAACAACTGATCAAACAAATTTTGTTGTATAGGTGGCAGCATATTTACATTGTACAGTAAGTTTACAGCAGATATTCTGAATGTATATTTTTGTAGTTGGTCTTCAAAAATTAATACTAGCAGCAATAAATTTATCTGTTCAGCTAACTACGGATCCCAAACTATTTTACCTGAACTTCCTTAAGAGAGAAAGAGGTACTAAAACGACGTCCCCTGAAGAGGTTATCCCGGTATGTCCTTTTCATGTGTCATCATTTTGTATGACTTCTGCATACATAACCTTTAAAGAACCTCCAGTCTCTAGTCCTATTCAGCAACTCTTTTTACAGTACAATGTAACTGTGCATAGAATTGTGGCCTAAATTATCGTGAACATGAGTCTAGATTGCTACACAGGAGCAACTCTGAGTCTCTAAATACGAAGTTCTTTTGCTTTGTTTTGTAAAAAGAAAAAAGAAAAAAAGACGATGCCGCTTCCATTCGCAACCAAGAGGAGGACACCAAAGCCACTCCTGCCACGTGACTAGGGCAGCCGCGTCTCTCTCGCTCTCTCTCCCCCCGCACGTGACAGCAGTGCTAGGCTCGCCTTTGGGGGCTTCAGACGTGTGCGGCCGTCGTCCGTCCTCTGCACACAGCCGACGAGCGGATGTGACGTTCTGGGCTGCTGGGTTGCTGCGCAGTTCTCCGGAGAAGAGAGGAGAACGAGACGGCGAAGCGCAGTCGGGAGGGATTCGTTCTTGCGGCAGCTTTCGGCGGCAGTAGCCCTCGCCAAGGCTTGGCCCCCTCCCGCCTCAGCCCCCAAAAGCGAGAGAGCGACAGCGGGGCGGGGGCCGCCGCGACCAAGCGCTGCTGTTCGGTGAGT